TCTAGTGAGGGTTCCCCGATTCTCCTGCTCAGCGGGCACAGCGGAACTGCGCGCGATCATGGCTAGCAAAATGTCATTTCCGAACGCCAACAACGCTCTTCACTGCACCAACGTAGTGCTGCAGCCGGTGTGAGAGTGTACCTTACTAGAGAGTTTTACTATTGAGTATAGAAGCAAACGCAAGCGCTGTGCGTTTGCGTTAGAGTTGCGTGCCCTGCGTTATTCGTGCGCCTCATCGCCATACGCCAATCCAAGGCCGTAATGTTGAGCTCGGCGCACGCGATAACGCAAACACACAGCGCCCGCGTTCGCTCGTATACACAATACTAAAACTCACAACTGTTTCACCGCCTTCCAACGCGAACGCAACGTGCTGCATTGAGCAGACGTGCAAGCGGTTAGGCGTTCCTTCAAACTGGAAAGGCTCAGATTGGCAAAACGACGGCGCGTAAACAGGAAAGTAACTAAATGTTATGAAAAAATTGATGATTAAAAAAATATCTTTTATTTTTATTCTTTTATTTTGGGGCATTCGGTCTCCAAGGATTTTGGCGGCGACTTTGTAACTCTTGCAGATTGTCAAAAGTAACGACATTCATAGCAAAATATGCTTTACCTATAATTAATGTAATTTTACATGGATTTCTCACATTAGCGAGAATGTTATGATTTATTTTACAGTATTTTAATTTTATAGCTTGGCAATTAGAAATTCTGCATTTGGTACCACTGATGATGATTAGCACATTTTTTGTTGTCATGCTTGCTCGCGCGTCTGAAATAAGACCATGGGCAACAAATTATATTAGAGCTTCAAAAATTGCGTATTAAAATATCTGCAGAAGTATAGTAAGTTGGGCGAGTTGGTATGATGACATGATGAACAGAACAGCGCACACAAAGACAAGGACAGAGAAAAGGAGCATGCAGGACACACAGCGCTTGTGTGTCCTGCATGTTCCTTTTCTCTGTCCTTGTCTTTGTGTGCGCTGTTCTGTTCATCATGTTAAAATATCTGATTTTTAATATTATTATTATTAATACAATTCACGGCAATGTATGCCTCCAATTAAGGCCACGACCACAAAAATACGCCATTTAAGCACAGCAGTCTTTCCACAAAGGTATATTTTTTGTTTTGTTTTTTTAGCATATGAAAAACTCTGACATCGTTATCAAGGTAGACAAACAGTCAAACACTGGATGCAATATAAAATTCTATGCGCCACACGTTTCAATAAAATACACACCCACTTCAGCTGTTTGACTCGAATTCTGTCTTTGGGTTGTTGTAGCGAGTACAGCGTTTATTAATTTATGCGGAGGGCAAGTTCGTCTGCTTCTTGCGCAGGGGGTAGCGGTGACGTCAGAATGCCGAGTCCTGATTGGCTGATCGCGACCCCCTATCTGAGCGTCGTCTGCTCCTTTGCAACGTCGTCTGCTCGCAACGTCGTCTGCGTCTGTCTTACCTTTCCTGAGACTTTCGGAAGTGCAGAGGCCAGATTTACGAAACGATCTTACGCCAAAAATGTGCGTAAGACAAAACTTAAGAACAAATTCGTATTCGCGAAACGAAATTTTCCTAAGTTTTGCGCAGGTTACGGCGAAATCCTACGACAGCTCAACTCAGCATGGCCGACAGCGTCGCGGTCGCGACGACCCACGGACGTTTATTTTTCTACGTGAGCTTCTGACGCGTCCTGACTTCAAGCAGCAAGAAGAAAGTAAAAATTACTTGAAACAGAGCACGATGAACAAGAACGCTGGATCCGCAAACACCGGGGAAAAGCTCCAACGGCCCCGATTCGACCGAACGCGACCAAACGAGCTGGGCAGTTAGGCCTAGCAGGCACTCCGCGACTCGGCGACCGTCTGCCCACGACCGGCTGACGTGCTGAATGGAATGTGCCCGCGCGACCCTTGTGAACCCTTCCCGTGTTATACTTTGATCGCCGACCTCAATTTTAGATTAAAAGGTCAATTTCTTCCTCTTGTTATCTTCTTGTTTCCCGAGGCAACGGTGACTCGCCGGTGAAAAAGCGGTGAATCTCCGACAGACGTAGGAAAGATAAAGCAGCCATCGCTTTGACTAGCAGACGAAAAGCAGACGACGTTAACTGCGCCAACCCGCCGGCGCCGTTAAAGAGTGAGGGGTCTCGCCGCACACGAATGGAGGGAAAAAGTATATGGAAGGGAATTTGCGGACACAAACACGCTCACCTCTCGGTTCTAAGCAAACAAACCTCGGCGCCCCGGGACACCTCGCCAGTGAGTCCTTTGACTTCCCTCCTTGATGCTCGTCTGCTAGTTGTTAGACAAAAACAACGTACCGCTCGAGTTATTTCGTCTGCCCTCCCTTAAAGGCGAAGTCGAGTTCGCTCCGAAAGTCGCAGGAAAGGTAAGACAGACGCAGACGATGTTGCGAGCAGACGACGTTGCAAAGGAGCAGACGACGCTGAGATAGGGGGCCGCGATCAGCCAGTCAGGGCTCGGCGTTCTGACGTCACCACTACTTCCTTTCTCCTGCGCAGAAGACGAAAATGAGCCCACTTGCGAGGCGTATACGTTTTGTGGACATATTGTAAAAATTGATTTATTCTGTTATAACGTTATTCTGTTACAATGAATCATCGAAATACACAAAACCCATTAAAGGGCCCGACGTTCATTATTTCACATGGCAATCATCTGAGCGAGAAAAGGCAGCGATAGCGCACAAATATCAGAACATTTTTTTTTTCAACAACTACAACATTCTATGTTACCTCTAAGGTATATGAAAGACCCTGTTTTTAAAGGGAGACTGAAATCTTCCAAATATTTTGAAGTGCCTGAATCGAATATGTATGTCATAAAAGAAAGTTTCCGCGAACAGCTTCTTTAACTAAATATTTGCGATGTGAGACACATCTTGAGTTATGAAAGAATTCGAAATTAAGACATATACCGGGAAATTATATTCGAAATAGAGGTTACTTTCGGTATCGCTCCAGAATTAAAACGTGCCTTCTGGAGTAAGTATTACGCTAAAACACCGTTCTTGTTTTCAGGGTAAAGAGGTAACCTGCGCTCATAACACCCTAGCTTCCTCGTATTACCTGAAATAAATTGTGTCGCTCAGTGAAGCCAGTACACTAGACAGGCTCAGCAGCAGCACTCATCTCCCCGACTCCCTCTATAACCGCCATTTCGGAAAACGAGTGGCGCCACCTATAGTTCGTTGGTGTCGCGAGCCAATGTTGCTCGATGGACATTGGAAAAAGGTCGATTGTCTGTGCGTTGCGCCATTTTTTAAGTCCGACAAGGTCGTGTTCAGGGTAGCTAGAACTAAGCCCCGGTCGAGCGTCTTTTAAGCCGCGGATTCTTTTTAAAAGCGCGGCTGCTTGCAGATAATGAAGGTAAATTTTTCTTAAGGGAATTAACAAGAAGCCACCTAAGATATGCGACACATGTTACGGTTCATTTAACTATGCTATTTAAAAAAGTAAGCTTATAATAAAATTTTAATTACTTTTTTATGAGCTTCCGTTTTTTGTCTGTTTTTTTTTTTTTTTTTTTTTTTTCGTGAAGTTGACGCGTTATTATGGATATAAGCTCCGGAGCGGAACTCGGCAGATAATTAGGAGTGAAGTTATAATAATTGCTGAGCGGTTCATTAATCCGGGATTTTTAAGGCGAAATCCTCCGTTGTCCCACGAGGCGAAAAAGCGGCGGCGTTGTGCCCGAGAGATGGTCACACCAATACGTCATCAAGCACGCGCCTCAGAAATAAAACACAAAGAAAAGCACAGCAACGCAGATGCTTCGTCAAGGAAGCCGTCGTGTAACCGCCGGGGTTCGCCGCGCCTGCGAAGTGGGGTAGCGTGATGTCACCGCCGGAGCGCCGTGTGAAAAAGGAAAACGTGGGGCGCTGCTTGCAGAAATACGCTGCGTGTAAGAATGCTTTGGCATTCCTACACGTGAGCAGTCTTAAGTTTCTCTGCCGAATTTTATCTCTTCCTCTAGCATATTGTCAACGATAATCATTAAGTGAGCGCACGTTCATGGTTTTATTTTCGCTTAACGCTTGGAAACCAGACGCATTGTACTCCGTTCAACTCCAACCACAACCTACGCTACAACCTGATGGAGCCAGTCAAGTAATGCCAAAACTGCACCGTCACGGCACTCGACGTCCTTGTGCCTTTGCTATCGTCGATTCAGCCCGACGTGCATTAGTTTGGCTCGTGTTAATCAAACCCAGAAGGATAACTGGCGCCGTGGCGATGCGCTTTTAGGCGTCGTTTGTTCGCTTCCTCGGGGGAAAGCGTTCTCTGCGGTCGGAGTTAACACGGGGCAAATAACGCGTAAGAAATATTTTGCGTGTACCTGACCCCTTGCCACCGTCCAATCACGCCTATAATTATATAGGCTCGCCAGTGCTCTCAGAGATACGTGATTGACCGGTCACAAGAAACGCAACCAGCGCCCGAACCTTGCGTATGGTTGAATTTGATTTGGCGATTTTCTGACGTGACAGTTACAATGAGCCGATCTAAGTAAAGAAACAAATGAATAGCAGGACTTTTGATCTTGAAGAGTTTCTGTTTGAACGTATCTTGTTCTTTGATCGATGCGCATCATCTACCCGATGCACCCTGCCTGGTTGGGACTAAAGTCCCTTATGCTTTTTTTACAAGTAACGACAACCAATACAAATGAAAAAGCACATTCTGCTGGAACAAAATGGCGTCAATCAGTTCAGACCTCTGCTGTGCTGCGCAATTCGCCTCATAAAACCCGCACCACCACGCAGTCGGCGCTTCAAAGAATGTTGCTACTTTTAAGCTCTTATCTAGGGTTTTTATTTGGTACGGCATGATACTTATCCTTTTTTTCTGCCCCAAGGCCATTTTAAAGTTTCTCTGATTCACGACTACATGTTTTCACGGTCAGGCCCCGCTGAAGAGAGGATTGTCTACCCAAGAGTCCTCGAAGGAAGAGGACTTCGCGGAGAAAAGATGCTCTACATTCACGATGGACTCACACTAAGCCTCCAGAAGAGCAGGGTGTTTGCGGAAAACTTCGTCCTCACCGTGGACGATGGCCTTACACAAACCGATAAGATTGTAAGTGTGCATTCTAGATTCCAGAGGTACTACGCCAATCTAACCCGAAAATTAGAGTAAGAGAAATACATAATCTGTCATATATTAAAATGCGCCCGGCGTGGCGGTCCTCGAGCATTTATTATCGCTCCTTAGTCAATCAGATCGCGACATTGTCAGAAAACAAAGCAGTAAAACCCACCGCGAAGCAATAAGCGTGAACACACTCAGCCACACTCTGATTTTCTTAAGTTTTCATTGCCTACATGCGGACCAATGATAACAAACCAGGCAACTATCCTTCAGCATTTGACGGTCCCGATGTTGACGCTTGGTTCTTTCCAGATGAGAGGCGAGGATCTCGGAAATAATTTGTTCCACGACGAGCAGGGGACAGCCGCCCTTCAGGTCGAAGACGCGAATGGAACTGTACAAGTGGTATGACGTCATCTTTTCTCTTTTATTTCGCTATTCAATTTATACGCACACTGCGTGCTTTCTATTGGCACATTCGTGTTTTCTGATCCCTCTAAACTTTGTTCCTAGCTGTGCATTCACATTTGACTGTGTGCGTTGCAGACGGGGTTCCTGGAGCACACGCTAGCGATCGAACCACTGCCACTGATCGCCCGATCTGGCGACGGACGCATTGCCCACATACTTTTGGAGATCGACTACGAGGCACAAGCCCGCAGCCCTCCTTCTTACCCTCCTCCGCCGCCTTACAGTGTTGTGGACGTCGGTAAGGCAGGCCTGGTACCTTTACTTTTGTCGCGACATTTCTCTAGTCGCCGGCAATTTAATTAAGGCAAGGAGTGACGAGACGGGTGGTTCCCGTTTCGACCCATTCCCAATTCAACCTTCTCATTTGTACCTTCCCGTTTCGACCCGTCTCAAAGCGACTTTCTAGTTTCATCCTTTCCCACTTCGCCCTATCCTGAAACAACCTTTCCGCTTCGGCCATCGTACGTCATCAGTTAGATCAGTTCGTTTGTATTGTTCGTTAACAGTTGATTAGGTTCAAGTGTCCAATGTCTGTCCTCCTTGCTCAAATCACTTCTCACCGCCCCGAAACAACCTTGGAGACATGGCACCCAAAGATAAACGCTCGTGTCAGGGAGGGCTCACCTGAACATTTACAGCTTCGTCAATCTGATCAAACGGAATGCGGCCTTGACAAGGATATGTCTGTTGCAGCTTGCAAATGGTGGTGCCGTGCGGTCCAGGAGACAGCCGCGAACTATATCAAAATTGGAGTGTCACCTTTCTGATGGCGCGATTTTCCTGCTCGACTTCCTCAACACAGGCGATAGCATTTTGTGGTTTATGATTTTTTCCTGTATGCGCGAAAGTTCTATGTTGAACTCGTAAGAAAATAAAGTCGCAATCATATGCCTGTCAACCTGTTTGATTTACCACTTTTCAAAATATCCCGTTCACTACAAAGAAGTTTTAGCATATCGTACGCGAGCGCTCTGGGTAACCTCAAAATAGCCATCGCGATATAGAACCCAAGACAACAATAATTTTTGCTGACTCAAAGCGCTTTCCTACGTTATTCTAGGACTAGACTTTATTATTGTACAGAGGGCGACACTGTTAGCCGGAACAAGTGATTGTTGGTTTTCGCTGTTTCTCTCGAAGAATCAAAAGACTGCCATGAATATTATTAGTGTCTTTGAAAGTGCTCATCTAGGCCACAAACCTTAGTGGTCAAATTTAGTACCTCCTATTGCCATTTCGAAGTAAAATTTGATCAAATTGTCAACATCGTGTTCGCGGTAACGTTGTCGCGCAGTGTATATAGTCCGTTTCGCGCTTGCATGTTTTGGGGATCATCTTCAAAGAAACATTTTAAGTGGCTCAAGTAGAAATATATTTCCTTGAAGCTTGTCTGAAAGTGTTGCATGCTTTAAGAATACTTTGACTACAAAATATTTCACAACATAACTGAATAGCTCGCCTGCACCTTTGCATTAATTGCATTAACATCATTTCGGGACATATTCTTAAGCGAAAAAGGAGGGAATATCAGGGTTAGAACGATGGGGACTTTCCCGAAGAGGTTGAGATGTGCGGGGCTTTATACCAATGGGTTCAAAAGGCACGGGCTGAAACCTAAAGGGTATTTCGGGTACAGGTCCAAATAAGAAGGTCGTTTCGGGAGCGGGTCGAAACGGGAAAGGTTCAAACGTGAAGGTTGTTTCGGGAATGGGTCGAAACGGGACGGGTTCAAATGGGAAGGTAGTTTGGGGAACGGGTCAAAACGGGATGGATTCAAACGGGAATGGGTTGTTTCGGGCAACACATGACGAGACCTGGCCATCTTATCAACGTTACGCAGCCAATACAATGGCGGCTTTAGCAGATAAAAACGCCGAAGAATAGTCGCGAAGCAAAAAGCCCGAAGATAATAAGTTACGGCGCTGCGTTTTTAAACTATGTGTAATACCACTAACAATAAACTGACTGCGAACTCGCCGACTGAGATTCAGTCATTCAAAGCTTAGCTCTTAAAAGCTCAGTTCATTCACCGAGATGTATTCGGTAGAGCTTGCATTTTACTGGAAGCGAGACACGTGCCACAATAAAAAAAAACATTCAAATACACTTAATTAATTTAATCAATATGCAGCGTGTTGCACACAACCTAGGGGTAGTTTTTTGGTTCTTTTTAGAAAAATCAGGCATTGCACAGAAAAATAAATGTCATATAGGAAGCACCCTCTAATACAACTGTCTCGTGGTAAATTTCCAAACACACATGTTTAGCAATCTCGTGTTTTCTTGTTTGTTTTTTTCAAGAAAACGTTTAAATTTGTTTGTTTAAGATATGATTTAGTTCACGTGCTGTCAGCTCAAAAACAAAATGTTCAATTGATTGTTTTTTTTTTGTTTTTGTTTTTTTGGAGATGAAAACATTTTGTATTGCATCTGGTTCCTTTTACAGCCCAACTTGAGATGTCTTCGGCTTTGAAAAGCGACGATTCTTCCCCAAATGGTGGGTATCCTCAAGGTACAGTGAGGATAATTATTTTTATCGCTGTAGAAATTTTCCGCGTCAGCACATGCTCTTTTTTTTAGGTTGTTCAGTTTCAGTTTACATGAATTCGTAATCGCAATACACGTAAGGCCATATTTTGGCCTTCCGGGGAGGAATACTTTTTCAGCAGAATCCATTTTCTACCGGCAAAGAATAGTCTAATATGCTTGTGTTCTCAACTCAACTTAACGTTTCCTTCCAGTGGTCGAACACAGAGTCAAAAAGGTCCCGGAAGAGTTCCTTGTCGAGACCCGCATCATTTCCGATCATCACATGAACAAGGGCAAGACTGAAAAAGAACTTATCGATTACTACGGAGTCCGAATGAACCTGGTTAGGAGCTTGTTTGGTTTTCAGCTTAGACTTTTGTTTATAGCCGTCTTTTTGTAGCATCCTTCGGGTCATCAAGCGAATATGCGTGCACCGTTGCCTCGAGGAGTCTTGTTTTCGGTTAATGTGACCATCATAGTTTACGGAAGATCTCTGCTTTCTTTTGAAGGTCAATCATCACTTCAAGCAGGTCACCGCACCCCGGGTAAAGTTCCTCACCGTGGGTATTGTACTGAGCAAGGTACGTTGATTAAAGCACCTGTTTCATTCCCACCATACTAACTCCGTTCAAGATGACAAAAAAGGCTCCCCATTATAGTTCGACTACAGGTCTAGATTGGGCTCCGAAAAAATATACCTCAAATTAAGCACACATATATCTTCACAACTGGTGAAGTTATTACCTTTACGTATTGATGGGTGTCGCCTTATTTCATTTTTGCAGCACCGCATTATGTACCGACTGCGCAAGCCTCCCAATACTAGTAATGCGATTTTGTGATAACACATTTTGGATTCACAAAAACGCAAAAATTCATTGGCTATATATGGCGTAGCTGTAGAACTACACATTTTCGGAGTTCCTTTTATTATTTACATTTACTGATAGCTTCAGTTTGGTAACAGCAAGGATGGACGTGAAATATAATATTGCGGGTATAAGCTCCAAATCAAATAAGGTTATGTAATTCGCAGTAGCTTTTGATTATCAATGAAAAGGACCATAAAATAAATTTTTGGCTGAGATAAATTACTTTAGAGTGGGATTTTACTAAACGCGTATCTTTTAGCGGGCCAAAAGAAAAATAGTACACAAGGATAGACAGCCAAAAACCAGCTTTTTGGTACGAAAAATTGCAAAAAAAACGCGGACAATTTGTTACATTTTTTCATCCTAAAGCTCTCCGCCTTTTCACCGTGATACATGCGCGGTAACCAAAGCACGTCAGCCAACCCAAGCTCACGCACTGGAATCCGTCGACGAATATTTGGACTCTCGATTGTGGCCAATGAGTGCCGTGACGACACTTACCATCACGTGCGAATGATGAATTCTATTGTGTGCTTATAAAGCACGGTGGAAGCTTGGAGTTGAGTAGTGCGGATTCTTGGGCGAGTTGGTACTGAAACTTGGAGAACATAATAGCGATTCACGACAGGGACGAAGGGTAGGAACGAGACAACACAATGCGCTAACTTCAACTGGTTTAATCGTCAGAAAATCAAAGGTATAAATACTCTGCATCATCGCGCCATTCAACCAATCCCAAGCCACGCCACTGATCGCAAGAACTGTATCTCTTTGTCTGCCAAATCGATCGACGCCACGCTGACACATCGATCCCCGTAGTTTCTTATCAGGTCCGCCTCTATAATTTCCCTTACCGTCTTATCTCTATATTTTCTAATGACAGTGCACAAATTAAATTCAGGTTTGCACCCACAGTCATGGCAGTGCATCGACAAATGACCGTCACGCTGTCCGCTCACTTTTAGGTTGTGCTCGCGCAATCTGTCATTTAGACATCTTCCCGTCTGTCCAACGTACTTTTTACCGCACGTCAGCGGGTTCTCATAAACGACGCCTTCTGCGCAATCTACAAACGGGCTGCGATGCTTCTTCACGCAGCCAACCGGTGGTTTGCGGTAAGGGTCCGTCATTTTGCACAACTTGGCAAGTTTTTCGGGTGAAGAAAAAACCACCCGAGCGTTTAGGCGGTTTGCTATCCTTTTGAGATTGTGTGCCGTTTTGTGCATGTAAGGCACAACCGCCACTCTTTGTTTCTTTTGGGCCACATCCTGGTCTGGACTCGCTACTACTCGTAGCTTCTTTAAAACCTTTTCTGCAACCGACACCAGGAGCGTTCCCGGGAAACCGGCAGCCACCAAGCGTTCTGACTGCTCCTTCAGACTTGAAGGCATCGCATGATGACACGACCTTCTGATGGCGTTCACAAAGCACAAATTTACAATTCCTCTCTTGACAAGTTTTGAATGGGATGAATTGAAAGGCAACAGGGGCTTATTTCCTCTTGGTTGGTATTTCCAACACACATGTTGCTCCGAAAGTGTGAGCCTGATATCTAAAAACTGTATGACGTTGTCCACGGGTACCTCGTGCGTAAGCTTGAGAGGATCTAGGACGGTACTAAAAACTGTTAAAAGGCTGTTCACCACCGAGGGAAAGTGAAAAACGTCATGGGGAAGAAAAACTAAATAATCGTCGACGAATCTAAAAACCTTACTACCATTAAAGTCATTCAGGCGTTCCGAGAGAACTCTGTCAGGATGGGCTAAAAATATATCGCTTAAAACTGGAGCTAAACACGAGCCAATACACACCCCTCGCTTCTGAATATACACTCCGCTGTTCCACTCAACAAAGGTCGAGTTTAGATAAAATGTAAGCAATTCGAGAAAGTCATCACCAGTCATTCCTGCTGCGTTCTGAAAGGCCACCACCCCGTGTTTATCGATGCTTTCCTCAGGTCACTAGTTTGTCGTGCGGTAGGGAATAGTATAAATCCTTTATGCCAAGTGAGCAGGCTAGAAAGCCTTTGTCCGCGTTTGTCTTTAAAAATCTACGACTTCATCCGAGCTTTTGACTAAAAACGGGTCGTCAATACAAATGGCTCCCAGTTTATCTTGCAGAAAGAGTGCTATCGATTTCTGCCATGTGCCTCTCTCCGAAACTATCACTCTTAACGGACAATCAACTTTGTGCGTCTTAGCGCTGAACATCATCTGTAGGCACTCGCTTTTGGTTTTGTCAATACTCTGTGACAACCTGTCTAATTTTAACCTCTGGCACAATTTTTTCCCCTCCGCCTTTAGCTTAGTTAAAGACACCTTTTGACGCTGCTTGAACACTGACGAAATAGCCTCAAGGGCCTTACTCCCGAATTCGGCTTCTGTTAAGACCACAAACCCTCCTTCCTTGTCGGCGGGAATGATAGACAATCGACGCTCTTTCAATAGCGACACCACACGCTTAACCGGAATATGGGGCTTCGCTGGTTTGTTATTGTTCCTAGACAACACGTCCACTCCCTCCGAGATACAACGTTCAACTTCGCCGTCTGGTGCGCACCTGGCGACTTGGCGGACCAGGCCCAAGAGTTCCGGAGCGTTCATGTTCGGCTCAACCGCAAACTTTGGTCCTAGAGCAAGAACTCGTCGTACATTTTCTGGAAGCTGCACGTCACTCACTGATCTGATGTCACACTTGGCCACTGGAGTGGAACAGCGGAGTGTATATTCAGAAGCGAGGGGTGTGTATTGGCTCGTGTTTAGCTCCAGTTTTAAGCGATATATTTTTAGCCCATCATGACAGAGTTCTCTCGGAACGCCTGAATGGCTTTAATGGTAGTAAGGTTTTTAGATTCGTCGACGATTATTTAGTTTTTCTTCCCATGACGTTTCTCACTTTCCCTCGGTGGTGAACAGCCTTTTAACAGTTTTTAGTACCGTCCTAGATCCTCTCAAGCTTACGCACGAGGTACCTGTGGACAACGTCATACAGTTTTTAGATATCAGGCTCACACTTTCGGAGCAACATATGTGTGTTGGAAATACCAACCAAGAGCAAATAAGCCCCTGTTGCCTTTCAATTCATCCCATTCAAAACTTGTCAAGAGAGGAATTGTAAATTTGTGCTTTGTGAACGCCATCAGAAGGTCGTGTCATCATGCGATGCCTTCAAGTCTGAAGAAGCAGTCAAAACGCTTGGTGGCTGCCGGTTTCCCGGGAACGCTCCTGGTGTCGGTTGCAGAAAAGGTTTTAAAGAAGCTACGAGTAGTAGCGAGTCCAGACCAGTATGTGGCCCAAAAGAAACAAAGAGTGGCGGTTGTGCCTTACATGCACAAAACGGCACACAATCTCAAAAGGATAGCAAACCGCCTAAACGCTCGGGTGGTTTTTTCTGCACCCGAAAAACTTGCCAAGTTGTGCAAAATGACGGACCCTTACCGCAAACCACCGGTTGGCTGCGTGAAGAAGCATCGCAGCCCGTTTGTAGATTGCGCAGAAGGCGTCGTTTATGAGATCCCGCTGACGTGCGGTAAAAAGTACGTTGGACAGACGGGAAGATGTCTAAATGACAGATTGCGCGAGCACAACCTAAAAGTGAGCGGACAGCGTGACGGTCATTTGTCGATGCACTGCCATGACTGTGGGTGCAAACCTGAATTTAATTTGTGCACTGTCATTAGAAAATATAGAGATAAGACGGTAAGGGAATTTATAGAGGCGGACCTGATAAGAAACTACGGGGATCGATGTGTCAGCGTGGCGTCAATCGATTTGGCAGACAAAGAGATACAGTTCTTGCGATCAGTAGCGTGGCTTGGGATTGGTTGAATGGCGCGACGATGCAGAGTATTTATACCTTTGATTTTCTGACGATTAAACCAGTTGAAGTTAGCGCATTGTGTTGTCTCGTTCCTACCCTTCGTCCCTGTCGTGAAGCGCTATTATGTTCTCCAAGGAAGCTTGGAGTTTTCGCATCCGGTAAAATACCACGTCACGACACCCTGGTTTCTTATTTCGACTTTCGGTTGAGGAGAAAAGCTATCGGGGAAACATGGTACCTTTAAACATCGTGGAGATCTCTTAACCTGCAACTGAAATCTTAGTTTCATCACGTATTTGGCGAAATTTTGTTTTCAGAAAGAACCGTATGCTCGCGTTGTTCAAGACACGAAAAAAAACAGGACGTCTACCTTGCTCTATGATACCCTCAAGTATCTAGTGGACACCTTGAACAGGACGGGACAACACAAAAAGCAGGACGCAGTGGTTTTCAACACGGGGTAAGCAGCACAGCGAACATAATACAGTCATTCTCGGTATAACGAACCTCATAGCATATAGGTCCAAAGATGTTACGGTAAAACTTCTAAATAAAGATGTGGTTATGGAGGTGATTTTAGAAGCACATGGCTGTGTACAGCAGGACAAATGAGCTGAAATGTCCCATGTTGTTCCCACAAAACTTTCCCGGTCGTGCGCGTGTTGATTAGTCGCTACACTTCTGAAACGGTGCATTGATGCAAGGGACGTGGGACTTGGGGCAAGGCTCTGCCTGTGCGTATTATACTCCGTTTCATCTTAAGTCCAACCGAAGGACGGAGCCAGCCAACCAGCGCCAAAAGTGTATCGTCACGGCCGTTGTCTCTGTGGGTAAGCCCTCGCCTGCCGAACCAATCACGCACAAAGAAAAAAGCACAGGCTTGATTGGTTTGATCCGATTCACAGCGTGGGCAATGGCAGGTCTGAAAGTGAAACGAGGTCCTCCGAACACCGATCGCCCGTCGTCTCTTGTCGCATGTCTGTTTACTTCGCTACAGCCAACCCGGCAAACCTGGTTTCAACCAACACTCTCTTTTTTTTTTTTAAATAAACAATCCCGCGTTTGCTCGCAACGAGTGTTGGCACTGCGCGTGCGCGGAAACCAGATTTGCCTGAGGCTAAGGATCTTCGCATGCGCACTGCCGACAGCAGTGCCACCGCAATGGCGTGACGCCGGAGAATTGAGTTGGTCTATATTCCTTTTACGCTTACCCTCGTCCCCAGCCGTGTAGTCCACACATGGTGAACAAACGTCCCGCGACTCGCGGGACTGTCCCGCATTGAGGGCTCGTGTCCCGCGTTCCGCAAGAAATTCCCAAATCTTCAAAATGTCCCGCATTTCGCATTGTCGTAACATTGACTGCGCAAATTATGGCGCTTCCGAACGACAGGCAACGGGGAACCGCGGAAGTCGCTGATAAATGTGTGAATCTCGATGGTATGTCATTTTCTTGCCAAGCACTGCGCAAAGCCACCGTCGTTCTTGCAGAATATTCACGCGCATGCGCCGCTCTGCCTCTCCTCTTTATGGCAAAATATTTGCAAGCGAAAATTGCTCGCCAAAAGCTCAAAAAGAAACTATTGTAATTAGTTCAAAATCATACTGTATCATGCGAAAGGGTTGTTGTGGAAAGCTTTTTTTTTTTAGTGAAGACGGCCACACAAGGCAAAAAACCGGCAACTCAGAACGGTCAGAAAAACAACAACAACAACATAAGGTTTTATTTTTGTGTAGGAGCATGTTAATATAAGAGTAAGTATCGACAGGAAACAATAAGCCGAAAAATATATACTATTTTTATTTCCTTTTGATGCAATGGAGTCTGGTGCAGTCGATCTTTATGTTTTCAACTTAGATACTTTAGATCAAATATTTACCTTTACAAGTAAACAAAAATATATCACTGTGAGTGAAACTTATCTTAGCTTAATTGCCGCGTAGAATTTTCAGGTGTATAACACGCTTTCGGACAGCAAAGGATTTTGGGGTGTGCGCGTTGGTGAATTTCCCTTAATACTTATTTTTGAGTCGTGAAAGTACCGCCCTCCTCTTACTCCTCCCCCCTCCACCACCCCCCCCCCCCCCCCCGGTCAGGATGTCCCGCATTGCACCGGCAGGAAGGTGGTCATACTATCCCCACAAAAGGTTTGGGCGACAAAAAAAGGAAAAAGAGGCGAGACATTAAAACCTGGATTGAGTAAAATAATATAGAGGAGGCAAAACAAGAAGGATTGAGAGTGGCGATAAAATCGTGAACACATTCTATTAGTGTGGCGAGGGCAAACCGATCTTTTCTTCCTTACCCGAAGTTTTGCCATTCAAGATGTCGACGACTAAACGGAAAACGTACGCGACCAAAAGCGTCGCTGTGGTCGAAGTTCGCCATTGGCTAAACAATCGCTTCCTGTATACTGACCATGCCTGCCCAATCGCCGGTGCACAGCGTGCCTGCCGATCACGGTAAGGCAGAGGCAAATCCTTGTCGTGACGTCACGAAAAAACCCATAAGAGGGCGCCACCGAAATATCTCGGCGCCAACAGACCTTTGCAGAGCTCTCGGCCAAGCGAAAAAAGCTGAGACACCGGGCTGTGTACACATGCGCGGCAGCATCTCATATTTTGCGGAAAAGAGTTTACAGCGCACGCTCAGAACGACTTTCACAGTCACGGAGACGAAAATTCTGAGCACACCTAAGCACTTCTTATAAGTTGTGAATGCGAAAGCATTCTCAGCACCAAGAAGGGCAGAAGCGGCCGCAGCGCAGGGAGGGAGTGCGGCGGTGCGCCGCGCAGACCGTCCTGGCTCGCTGGTGACTGCTACGCCGCTGGGTGAGGCAGCGGTGGGAGTGCAAAGCTCGGCACGGCGCGTGCTGAAATCACGTGTCCTCTAATCATCATCATCGCCCCAGCTTCGGGTACCGGTTGAGGGCGTTAGACCTCAAAGCATAACGTTATCAGGCCAGCGCATACCCGTGTCACTCCCTCCTACTGCGCCGTCAGCAGTTCGGCTGGCTTCCTAGCAACGATGACGCCGTCGCAATGGAGCCACATGACGCGTCACAGCCAATGGGAATTTAGGTGCCGTTTCGCTGCTACAGACAACGTTCCATGGGACCGTTAATGCTTTCGAATTAAAAATGGCAGCACACAGTAGGTTATCATTGGAAAGGTCCATACAGCCACTGACGGTTAAAAAACCTCAGGGAGCGGCGAGCCCACGTGCATCTCAATGTCGCTCCTCAAATCATTGAGATCCTGGCATTGAACGATAAGAACACACAAGAACGAATCATGAAGCGAGGAGTATAATGGTAATAACCCATGTGTCGCGCTTCCTAAGCTGCCAGTGACGATAGCTGATAGATAAAGCACGCCTTTACTTTCTTGGTCCGGTCCCTGTCCGCTAACGGCACGCGGATATCTCTTTACGGTTTACCGGTCCGTTATTTGCTATGCGGAGAGCAAGCCGTCTGCTCCTTGCTCGGGAGCTGAGGTGACGTCAAAAAGACACTGAACTCTGATTGGCTATGATTGAAGGATAGTGGGTAGACCTCAAAGCAAGCTACCTTGAGGTCTACCCACTAACCTTCATTCGGAACCAATCAAAGCTCGGCGTTCTGACGTCACCACAACCCCTGGAAAAGAAGCAGACGAACTTGCGCTCCGTATTGTGACTGACAGCTTAAGAAACGTGGGGAGGGGTTTCTTATGTTCACACGCCTGTTAGCTTCACATTGCTACACCATCATGTGGATGACTCATAACGGAAATTGGTCTACCTTCGATCCACTGTACTGGTTCACAAAACCAAGAATGGATAAGGTAATCAATGTTTTTTCGTTAATTCGTCAACTTACAGTCACTGTTCTCTTTTTTATCTAACGTTGGTCGAGCTTGATAAACACCTAGTGAAGACGGCACCCTTTAAAGTTTCATCCCCTCCTTCATATTTTTTGTCTGCATCAATTATTATCAAGCACGTTTAGTAACAAAATTAGCAAGCCAATTAATCAATACACGTGAAAAACGTTTAAATCATAAAACTCATGCACTCCTTAATTATAGATAAGCACAACTTAACAAAACAAAAAAGAGCATGACGATACCAAAAGTATTTCTAGGAGTTTTTTTTTTTTTTTTTTACATACGAAAACGAAAAAAAATATTAGGGGCGAAGCTCCTTAGGGTCTAGCCTTGTCCATCCGTCCGTCCGTCCGGCCAGCGTCCGTGCTCACATAAAAAGAAAAAATGTTTGCGCAGTCGGAGGATTAGAACCTGTGCGGGGACGCCGGGGAGACCCCAGTGGATTTCTAGTCTATCGACTTAACCACTCGGCCACGACTGCGGGACGAGTAGGGGGTTCTGAGATTTGGTAGTAACTCAAGAGCTGGGGTTTTTTTCATGGATGAAACTTTGCTTGTAGCCGCTCAACGTCTATGCAGGAGAGGGCGCTGTGGTCAAATGCGTATATAATCGCGTTAAACTTTGCATGCATTGGCTCGACGTTTATAGACGACAGGGTGCTGCGGTCAAATGCTCAAATGCGTATATAACCACGTTCCATACCACACATTCTCTTTCTGACATGGACCGTTGACTTAAGCGGTGGAGATGCGTTCCCACGGCTTGTAGCGGATCCAAGCTGATCCGCTAGAAGAACCACTGGCTCTGCATTTCACCGACCATAAATCAGTAATAATGATGTCGAAACGCAACCCGGAACTCAGCACTACCTATGAGCAATAAAAAAAAATCAGCACCATCAGCACAACCTATGAACAATAAAATCAGTATCGTCAGCACCACCAGAGCTTCGCCCCAATCCACATCATTCACTACGTGGAGATGCGGTCATTTTTTTAAATTTAAAATGCATTCACAACCAGGCACAAATAAGAGTCGAAAACAATATATATTAACGAAGTCCAAGATAGCAGCTAATAAACGATTTCCTTTCCGTAAGCCCTGTTGTTTACTTTCGTTTTTATTAATTTATATTTCCTGCGGTGCTAATTGCCGAAGGTAATGATAGAATCAGTGTCAGAAACAACTCAAACTAATCACGGTATTTTTATATTTATTTCTTTACCACAGGCTGGTTCCTGCAACCACACAAAAGAATGGAACCGTCTACTATGGTGTACTTGGTTAGTTAAAGCTTTCTTTCCTCCATATTTTTCCTTGCGTTAAAGTTCACTTTAGGAAGAGGGCAAATTGCCATTGGATTTCACCGCTGTTTTAAGCATGGATATTGCATCTATGTCAAAACGCATAGTTAACTTTACAGGAAAAATCTTTTAACGGTTTCGAACCAAATTAAGAAAACTTTGTATTTAATATGCTTCAGTAATAGGGACCCCCACCATAAATGTTTAATAGACAAACTAAATCAAAATACAAAATCAGTGTGCTAGATTTGTGAATTTGAATTAAAAATTCAAATTATGAATTTGGACGAAGTGTC